ATTTGTATACACTGTAATGATGTGTTTCTGCCTAAAGCGCCTTCTGATTGGTTTAATAAAGAGCTAAATGGCCAACAGTTAGGCAAGAAAAGGTTAGGCAGGACTTCTGGGGACAGAGAGAACTCTAGGAGGAGAAAGGCAGACACACAAGCCAAATGCAGAGAAAGCAGGGTGGGTAGTGCGGCAATGAGGTAACTGAGCCACATAGCAGGACGCAGATTAATATAAATGGTTTAATTATAAAAACTGGTTAGGGGGGCTGGAGAGATGGCTCAGAGGTTAAGAGCACTGATAGTTCTTCCAGAGGCCCTGAGTTCAATACCCAGCAACCACATGGTGGCTCACAACCATCTGTAATGAAATCTGGTGCCCTCTTCTGGCCTGCGGGCACACATGCAGACAGAACATTGTAAACAAAATAAATAAATAAATCTTAAAAAAAAAAAAAACTGGTTAGGGCCAAGCAGTGGTGTGCATGCCTTTAATCCCAGCACTCAGGAGGCAGAAGCATGTGGATCTCTGTGAGTTTGAGGACAACCTGGTCTACAGAGCTAGTTCCAGGACAGGCTCCAAAGCTACAGAGAAACCCTGTCTTGAAAAGCAAAACAAAACAACAAACCAAACCAAACAAACAAATAAACAAACAAAAAATACCTAGTTAGAAACTAAGCTAAGGTCGAACATTCATAATTAAATTTCCTATTGTTATTTGAGAGCTGGCCATGGTACAGATAAAGGAATAGCAACACTAGGGGTGTGATAAACACCAATGATTTGGGGTTCTTTAGATCCAAAGGAAACTCCAATTCCCATAACTCCAAAAGGCAGTCCAGTAAGCTCAACAGGGACTACAGGAGCATTTCTGGTGGTTAGATAAAAACCAGCATTCCTCAGGAACTAAACTTTGCCCATCTACCAAAGGAGTCACTTCCCTTACCTCTGGCATAAGGGACATATGGACCTGTGGTACCTACTAGTATATCAAAGTGCACAGCCCCCATGCTCCCTCAGTATCATAAGTACCTGCTACACATTTCAACCCATGCTAGCACCCTAGTCCTTCTCACGGCTTTCATCATACCCAAAACTCTCTCCAGCTCATAGGCTTCCCTCTCCCCAGCTACTCATTCTCCTTATAACCCTTCCATGCTTACGTTCTCTTTATGCTCTGCCCATGTTTCTCTATGTTTTCTCTATTCCTATCCCCCACTATGCTCCCTCTCTCAGATAGCCCTGGCCATGTTTGTATTTCACTTTCCCTCTGCTCTGGACTCTTCCAGAAGCCTCTGGCTGTTCTCTTATATCTACAATAAACCCCCTTCTTAAGCACACTAAGGAGTGGTCATGTCAGTTTATACAAGGACTTTGGCTGGGTAAACAGAAGGATTGTTATCTGGTAAACAAGCCTTTAAGCAGGTTTCTGTTTACCAGAAAAGCAGATCTCCCTAAACTGGGTTCCTGGTTGTCAGAAACTACCCTTAGTCCTCCAAGAAGCTCCCTTAATCTTCCCCCAAAAAGTCAATGACCTCTAGCAAAGGCATCTAGTTCTAGTGAATCCCAACACCCTGTATTAGCTAGATCCCCACATGACATATAACATGTTTGCCTTTCTACAATTTGCTCTTCTCTCTGCACCCCCACCCACTGGTTTTAGCAATTTGATCCCCAATAACCCTTTCTACCCGCAGAGCAGTCTAGTGGTTTCTCTGCACCATCAGTTCTATTTGGTGCTGAAACCTAGGACTGACCCAGGGACCTCTATACCACGGCTAACTGTCTCTCCTTGCCTCACACTAGGAGCAGTCTGTTCCGTCTCGGCCCTCTCCCTGGCTTGCTGGAACCCGCTGTCTCTCTCTGTTGGCTCCTGGAGCCTACCCCATAGAGCTGTGCAGGTAATCAGGCAGCTTCTCTCTGCCATCCCGGGGCCGTACAATATTGGATTCCCCACTCTGGCAGAGTTCCTGCTTGTGACCCTTCCCCTAACTCTCTCCCACCTCCTCCTCACTCTGCTTCCAAAGGATGTCTTCTCTTTTTTTCAGCTTGCTCCTGCCTCTAACCACAAGCTCTTCCCATTCAGAAGTAGCCTCATAAGCCGGGCAGTGGTGGCGAACGCCTTTAATCCCAGCACTTGGGAGGCAGAGTTAGGTGGATCTTTGTGAGTTCGAGACCAGCCTGGTCTACAGAGCTAGTTCCAGGACAGGCTCCAAAACCACAGAGAAACCCTGTCTCGAAAAACTTAAAAAAAAAAAAAAAAAAAAAAAAAGAAGTAGCCTCATGACTCCTCACCACCTCTATTCTCTATCCCTCCTTGAATTCAGCCTGCTGTTGTATTGTGAAAGGCTGGCCTCAGTGTAAACTAAATAATCAATCTCAATGGCCAAAATATGGCACGCTCAATTTCAGATTCTCACAACTTCTGCCACACACAAGAAAGAATCCCTTCTCTGCTCTCTGATCTAGTCTCTACCTCATCACTGAATTCTGTTTGTAGGGATTCAAATGTCTTTGGATATGGATGATATTAACAATTGCCACGTGCTGTTCTACTTTATTAAAAAGGCTGACTCTGGAGCTCAGATTTGGCCCCCCTCTCCAGACCCAAGCATGCTTGTTTGAGTTTCTTCCAAAGTGAAGAGTCCAAGAATAAGAATATAAAAATGTAGATCCCCAAAATAAGTAGAAATAAATAAGTCTTAAGTTGTAAGCTAGGAGAATAAGAGCATCAGCAGCCTTCTCAGCAGCTTAAGGATTAACTATTAATAGTGGATTACTCTGCTTTACAACCCATAGCTCTATTTGTAAGGCTGAAGCAGCCCTCTGCAAACTTAGGTTGGTTCTGCAACCTGAGGATCAGCCTTAGATACCCCGCCCCCCAGCCACTCATGACCATAAATTGATGTGAGCTGAGTTAACTTTTAAATGATGGGATGTACATGACTTTTGACTTTTTGGTTTTATATCGTCCCATACCCTTCCCTGCTTTGCGAAACTGGCAGTGTCAGGGGAGGTGTAGAGCCTTGGTAAACACTATCAAGGAATGCCAGGGAAGATAATAGATTAAGTACAAATACTAGTTTAACTGAAAAGCTCTGTTAATGGAAAATGCAAAGAAGGGCAATTTGTAACTGAGTTTTACCTTGAGATTGTAAAAATTCTTTTGTTATTGCCTAATGCTTGCTATAAAAGGAGTTCAGAAACTGGTCTTGCCACAGCCTTACAAGTCCATCTCTGGCTGTGGTCTCAGCTAGCTGATAAGCTTTTTGTGTCCCATGGAGATTTATTTTTTAATTATTTTTTTCCTGGAATAAAGTTTGCTTCTAGATTATTAGACTGGGCTGGAGAGATGGCTCAGAGGTTAAGAACATTGCCTGCTCTTCCAAAGGTCTTGAGTTCAATTCCCAGCAACCACATGGTGGCTCACAACCATCTGTAATGGGGTCTGGTGCCCTCTTCTGGCCTGCAGGCATACACACAGATAGATTATTAGACTTTGGTGGTCTGTCCCATCTTTCCACAACTCCCATGGACCCAACACAAAGTCTCTGTCCTGGTCAGGCTGGCCATCTAACTCTGTGACAGGGAGGAGAGCCAAACAGAGCAGCACAGGCAAACACCCTATGTTGAAACAGTAAGAAGTAGTCTATTCCCAGCAGGAGCTGCTGCTGCTCGTTTCAGCCCTTTTCTCATTTCTGTTTCCTAGCTCTAAAAACGACAAAGTATAATCATGATGTTTAACTCTGAATACACTCCCAATATCTCTAAAACTTTTGCTAAAGTATAAACTTCTATATCCCAGGATTTGTAATTCACTGGGGTGTGGTTTAAAAGATCTCTAAACTCTTTAACTAAGTTAGCTTCAAACTTGTAAAAGAAACAGTTGATGGTTAAAAGAAAAAAACTATACATAGGTAATCTTAATTTGCTACAGCATGCTTCTATGGAACTTGGATTCAATTCTTGTTTAGGAAAATAGATGTTTTTAAAAAAGAAAAAGAGGCAGTTCCTGATGGGCTCACCATGGAGTAAACAGCACCATGGCCTACCGCCATCCTGACTGATGACCTCACCAGGAAGGAAGCACCCATGTGTGCAGCAGCTGTCATCACTAAGGTTAAAGAGAGGGCATGCTATGGGACTTCACTATTATCTTGGTTAAGGTGACCGCATGGTATACACCAACTAAAGCAACACCAATAAAGCCCTCTGGATATCACTGCGTCTCCTTTTTCAGACTAAGGAAGCAACATCAGACCTCCAAGATGATTTATTTAATTTTATTCTCCCTACATTAACGAGGCAACAGCAGACCTTCAAGATATTTTGGATCAGGATAAATTTTTGTACGATTTTTGCCATGAGAGTGAAAAATAACTGATAAGGATAAAGTCATGAACAAAGTTAGGGGAAGTAGGACTTAACATGTTATTTGATCGTTACGGTTTCTAAATTCCTAAAGTTATAATGATTTACTCAGGTATGCTTTTTGTGGTCTGATCTTGATCAAGTTCTGGGATTGACAAGATTCTGAGGCAGCTCAGGGATTGGTGTTCAGTCACATCTATTTGGTGCTAACCAGCTCCTGCACCTTCCTGCCCAGAATACTTGTTGAGGACTCACTAACTAGACCACTTGTGCCAGCCAGAGTTAAATGTTAACTGAGTCACTGTTCCCTGTCGCCAAAGCTCAGGCAGGGTTAAATTCAAGGTAAAGCCTTCCTTCTCAGCTCAGGGGCCATGGTGGACTGCTGTGACAAGCTTAAAGAACACCAGGTTACAATTCTAATGACTTCTCTCAAATAGAAACAAAAGTGGGGGCTGTGTGGCCAGAACGGGGTTCCCAAGGTCTAGAAAACACTAGGACACTAGGCACAGCAGTTACAGGAGGGTCAGCAAGTTCTTCAGTCACTAATTAATAGTTTCCCCTTATCGGGTCGACTTTGTTTGTCCGGACAGCTAATCAGGAATGGCTGGCGATAACACAGGGCACAGGAAAACCCATACCTTTGAGTGAGGTGCAGTGCCACACTGCAGTGGTCCAGACAGGTGAAGGCAAAGAGGAGCAGGAGTTCAAAACCATCCTCGGAGCCTGGCAAGGTGGCAGACACTTAATCCTAGCACCTGGGAAGGCAGAGGTAGCTACGTCTAGGAGTTCCAGGCCAGGTAAAGCTATACAGTGAGACCCAGTCTCAAACAAACAAACAAACAAGAAGCCAAGAGAACCTGGAGCCTCTGAGTACCTTGCAGTCCTTTCTGCCCCCAGGGGGATTAGCAGCTACAAGCTAAGGTGGTCTCCAGTCAAACTAAGCTTAAGTGTTCCACACCTTGAAAGTGACCTTCATCATCCCTGTGCAGCACCCTCCACAACAAAGGGGCTGCAAAAGTCCTTTCTGGCAGGTCTCTCAAAGCCTCTAACTGCGACCATTGATCAACACCTGCAAAGAAAATTTCAGACATTAAAGATTTCTTAATCTGATAAAAAGTTTGCTGTTCCAGGAGTGTCACAAAAGCCAGGGTGTGGTGGCGTCTGCCCACCTGTGAGCCAACCCTGGGAAGGAAAAGGCAGGTGGACAGTGGGGAGTTTGAGGCCAGCCTAAGCCTCACAAAAACAAAACATCAGTCAACTGACCAGTCGGTCATTACTATGGTGTTCAGTTGACTATTTACTACAGTATGAATGTAAATACAGAAAAAAATGCATTTGTCTTCAAGACCTAGTCCTAGCAAGCATCAGAGAAATGCTCAAATGGGGTATGATGGTAACCTGTGATCCCAGCAACAGGAAGGCAGAAGCAGGAGGATCAGAAGCTCAAGGTCAGTTACTCTAAGGTACAAAGTTTGAGGCCAGCCTGAACTGGCAGAGATCCTGTCTCAGGAAATACTAAAAACCCAGTTCTGCCTTCTGCTCTCCTGGAAATGTATAACCCAAAAGATGACTCTGGTATTACCAAAAAAGAGCAGATGGTAAATAAGGCCGGGGTGGTGGTACACCTCCATAATTGTAGCACTGGGAGGTAAAGACTGACTAGCCTGAGCATCCTGAGACCGTCTCCAAAAATGTGGAAAAAAAGAAAGGCAGAGCAGGAAATGCGGCAGCATCACTGCCTGGCAGAGCACAGGCTTGTGTCACATTTCCTAAGCCTTTTCCTTATCCCTGAGATAATCTAAGCAGTGCTTCTCAACCTTCCTAACGCTGGGACCTTTTCAATACAGTTTCTCATGTGCTGACCCCAACCATAAAATTATTTTCATTGCTATTTCATAACTGTAATTTTGTTACTGTTCTTGTGAGGACCTGAGTTTGCAAAGTCCATTTTAAAGAAGGGGCTTCATCTTAAGCCATATAATGAGCTGGGGGGTGGGTGATCTGTTCCAGAAATGTGCTGCCATATCAGAAATTTGAACAGATACCCTAAAAATGGCCAATTAAGAAGATAGGGAGCAGGCCATAAAATTTAATAAAGTTCAGATGTTCTTGGGAGGCATCCTGTCCTTGAAGATACCTTGGTCTACAATGGGTTCAGAAACTAACTACCTTATTCTATGTACTCCTTACCCAGTCCCAAGACAACAAGACATGAACTCCCCTGATTATGACATTTCCCCTTTAAAAGTTCTACCCTCCCAGGGCTCCCTGCCACACTTTCTGCACCCACCACGCTGGGGTGCTAGAAAGGTACTGGTCCAAATTTAAGTTTGAATATTATTAAAAACCCTCATGTAATTTGCATCGGAAATCAGGCTCCGTGAATTTATTTGGGAACCAGAAACTTGGGCATGACATTCTGATTCACAATGTAAATTTTTCTGGTAGAAGCTAGAAGAGATGTTGGGGATTATCTTCAGAAATGCTTCCCACCTTCTTTGAAACAGGGTCTCCAACCAGCCTGGCGTTTACTGATTCAAGTAGACTGACTAGCCAACAACCCTAAGGAATCTTCCTGTCTTTGCCATCCCAGCAAGGGATTACAAATGCAAGCCACCACCCCTGTCCAGATCAAAAGCTCTTTCATGGCCAGGATGGTGGCGCACACCTGTAATCCCAACACACTGGAGGCAGAAGCAGGAGGATCTCTGTGAGTTTGAGGCTTGCCTGGTCTACAAAGAAAGTTCTAGGACAACAAGGGCTTTACATAGAGAGATCCTGTCTTAAATTTTTCTTTTTCTCAAAAGCTAAGCCATTGCACTAAAGGTTTTCAGAACTGCTAGACCTCTGATGTGGCAGGTAACTAAGAGCCCTGGGCATGCTCACCTAGGACGAGAAGGCTGAAGAAAATGGTCATGCCACTCGACTGTTCCTCCTGTTGGGCCTGCTCCCCTGTCTGCACCGGAAGGATGGGTTTGGCAGGTGTCGGGAGCACCAGCCTCGTGGTGACACCCAGGGTGGTGTGAAGGGTGAAGCTGAAGTTTTCATGGGTTGTGTTGGAGAACCTGTTGGAAGCACACAAGTGGGAGTCAGGTAGAAGAGGGTCAAGGGATCAAAACACACCTTGACTGACTGAGGACAGAGCAAAGCCCTGAGGGTACAAACAACAGGCAGGTCTTCAAGAGGGAGTGATGCCCTGCCTACAAACCCCAGCCAGTGACCTCCAGCATCTTTGACCTTGGTCATCCAGAGGTCAGGAAGAAGGGGGTCAGGCCTGTGGAGAAAGAAATGCAAAGGCCAGGGATGAAGATCAGCTGGTAGGGCTGGCAATGAGGCCCTGGGTTTGATCCCCAGTACTGTACAAACCAGGTGTGTATGGCACAGGCCTATAATCCCAGTACTCAGTGTTATTCTTTTGGTCCCTGCCCTGGCCACGCCCACTCCTTTTAACCTCTGACCTGCCCGCCATTGCTCTCTCTCCCTGTGTTCTCTCCCGGTGTACACACGGGGCTTTGCCTCTCTCCTCCTCTCTCTCTCCCTCCTTCTCTCCCTTTCTCTTTCTCTCTCTCTCTCTTCCTCTCTCCCTTTCTGTAATAAATATTTTACCTTTATGCCTATTTTTGTGTCTATGTGTCCATGCAGCGCGGGCTCCGCCAGCCCGCCTGGGGATCATTTTAGGAATAAGACTCAGTAGGAAGAGGAGAAAGATCAAGAGTTTGAGGTCATTTTCAGCTAAAAGACCAGCTTGGGCAACATGAAACCCTGTCTAACAAATCAAAAATGCTGAGCCTAAGGTTACCAAACAGTCAGTTAGGCAGGAGGACCACAAGTTAAAAATCTGCAGGGGGTAGTGAGTTCAATGTCAGCCTAAGAAACTTGGTGAGACCCTTTCTCAAAATAAGTAAAGGAGGAAATGGCACAGTGGCACCCGCCTGTAATACCAGCAGAGGATAACAAGTTTGCTGCGTACCGAAACCGTCTCAAGTACATGACTAAGAACAGCTTGGCCGTAGAGGGCTCGCTCAGCATGCACAAGGCCCTACAGGTCAATCCTCAGTAGGCCCCTTTCTTTCCAATAAAAATAACAACACAAAAGAAGAAATGCTGTCTGTCCTTTGAACTTAGTGAGGGTAGCAGGGTATGGCAACCCAATGCTTGCAATCCCTGCACTTGGGAGACAGGCGGGAAAGTTAGGAGTTCAAGGCCAAGGGCCCCTTGGGCTACATAGTGATGATACACACAGTGAGCTGAGGATCAGCCCTATGGGCTACATGAGACAGTCTCAAAAAGGAAAAACAAAAGTTTCCCAGAGTGGGACTGGGGTCTCCCACACCCCAGGTTCTACACTATTTACTGGGAACCTTTCCTGTGCTAGTCACATTTCTGCTTGGATTCTGTATGTCACTCGGGCTTGAACCCAGGACCTTGTGTGTGGCCGGCAAGGCTCTACAATTTAGATCCCAGTCCTTCTGGGATTATGTCCATAAACTGAAAAAGTCACCTGAGTTTGCCCAGCTGTTGTGCTCAGAGTGCCCTAACCTACCCTGCCAAACCCTTCTCAAATGTCAGAAGGCTCGGGTTGCCAGCTCTGGCACACTGCACGCTACCCAAGGCTTCGGTCCTTGCTCTCCTTGGAAAGCAGTAGTGGCCCAGTTGGGAGTGTAACAGGTGGTATCCACCGAGCATGGCTTCAGTCCAGCATCCAGTCACACAGCAGATCTCTAGAGACTCCATAACTGACCAAACTTCAAACACACACTTTGAACCATTCGACCCCACATTATCTCTTTAGTCTTGAACGGCCAAGGCCTACTTTAGCATCTGGGACAGCACGCATACACAGTAAGTGAGTTTATGACTTGGTACCTGACTGGCCAAGAGATACCTGAAATTAATGATCCCAGTACAAGTTCAGTATCATTAGAGGAATTCCTTGTTCATTTTCAGGAGCTCATTTCAAAGACGGAATTTGTAACATACCGCAAGAGCCTGCCAAGCAGGAAGACAGACTAACAGCGGCACATGCCCAGAGAGGGGAAGCTCACCTAGTTATGAAAGATGCTCTCTACACTGTCAACCAACGGCCAGCGCCTCACTCCAAAGTACTCACCCTCTCCCTTTTCTTTCCTGCCTGGGATGAGGACTGGGGACTCACGGAACGACAGCCCTTTCTTGGTTCAGGCTTGGGAACTTGTCACCCTCCCTATCTCTCCTGGGGACTCAAGGTTTGGGTCACAAGATATTTTTCTTCCAGGGTAGACTCCCCGCCCCTCACACTACACATTTTCCTTCCAAACATTTGGCACGGTCGGAACACACCCTGCCTACACAAAGCCTCCCACGACAGCAGAACGGCCGCTCCCTGCGGGCAGCTCCTGGCGCCCAAAGGCGAGCGGAGCGGACAACCAGCAGCTAATGAATGAATGAAACAGTCTGGGGACAGACATCAACACTGAGCCTGCGGATGGTTAAGGAGAACGCGAGACGCTTGTGTGGCGGGGGAGGACTTCCTGGAGGAGGAGCGCCTGGGGCACCTCAGATAACCGGAAACTGGGAGCGGGATCTGTGTTCGCGCTTCCGCCCGGCTACGCTACAGGCCTGCGCGCGGAGGCCGATGTATGACCTCGGGGAGGCCGCAGGGCCCGAGTCCTCATCCCGCCCCCCGCCGACCCCGGCCGGCTGGGCCAGAGCCACTCTACCCGGGCGCCCGAGGCCCGTTGTCGCCCGCCGGCCCGGCCCTGCCGCCTCCGCCACCCGGAGCAGCGAACTCACTCCTCCTCCGCCATCTTCTCCCCCATCCTGCGAGCCTCCGAGACTACCGAGTTGCACGCCGCGGGGCTAGCGGGGCCTGCGGCTGCTTCCGGCTTCCGCTGCGGGCGGAGGCGGGGCTTAGCCGCCCAGGGAGACCCTCTGCCCCGTCGTCTCGGTGACCCAAGAGTGGGACGATCTCGGGAGTTTTCTCTACGCCCGTTCCTTCCGAGCCACGTGACGATCTGGCCCCTGAACTGTTCGACTTTTTCCGGTCACCGGGCGGGAAGGACGTGGGGGAAACTCTTCTGAGATCCCGGTGACTCAGCTGTGAGCAAAACCGTCCTCCCCGCTTGGAATTCACAGGGCTAAGAATAGAGGGGGACGGACTTTGTAGGCATCCGGGCAGCCTGTGCCAAGGGGCGCGTCCTGAGTCAACTTCAGTTTCCCCAACTGTGGGAGTAACAAGCAGAGGGCTTTTGGAACATCCCTAGTGTAAAAGTGAGTGCAGGGGATGTACGGGCTGGGCATTCACCAACCCCTACGTTGGTTCATTGGTTTGTGTGGTTTTTGTGTAAATGGGGAGATCCAGGACATCTTGAGGGCTTTGATTCTCGCCTTCCACCATGTGGGTCCTTGATAATGAACTCTGGTAGTGAGGCTTAGCAGCAAGCACCTTTACTCATTGATCTATCTCACCACCCAATATTTCTTACTAACCTGTGTGTGAGGTGTGTGGGTGCATTAGGAGGCCCCAGATTGTTGTCAGACGTCTTCCTTGCTCGTGCTCCGTCTTAATTTATGAGACAGAGTCTCCACCTGCACTGAAGCTGGAGATCTGATATACTGGCTGGTCAGCAACTTACTGATCCTCCCTCCATTCTGGGTCTCTCTAGCCCTAGGGTTACAATTGACAGCAGCTCTGCTTGGCTTTTATGTGGGCGTTTGGGATATGAACTCCAGTGTTTATGCTTTCCCAGTAAATGCTTTACCCACTGGGCTTTAAACACGGGGTAACTTTAATTTCTGTGACAGCCTTACTCTGTTGACTGTAGGGGAAAAGGGCTAGCCAAAGAAACCCACCCTGGCCCTGAAACCAGAACCAGTAAAAGAAACACACCCTGGCTCTGAGACCCAAGCCAGTGAAAGAAATGCTTTAGTCCTGAACCCAGAACCAAAGAAACACGCCCTGACCCTGAAACCTGTGCCAAAGAAACATACGTTGGCCCTAGAAACAGAGTCAGTGAAGGAAATATGCCCTGGCCCCAAAACTGGAGCCGAAAAGCTTTAAAAGTCTGGTGAAAGAAACACAGTTTGGCTCTGAAATCAGCCATCTCTGCCTCGACCAACTAAACTAACCAATTCCTCTTCTCCCTGGGAAAACTCTCCTCCTAAGAAGCCCTATATAAGCCCTGTGCCTGTTCAGTTTGCAGCGGCTCTTCTACCTTGGAAAAGGCAGCCAGTCTCCTGGTTCTTCCCTCCCAATAAATCTCTTGCACACTTTCACTGGGGGACCTTCTCCTAGCAGAGCAGTGTTGCTACAGAGCCGAGCTGTAACAACTTCATTGGGGAACCCCTGTCCTGCCAGAGCAGAGCTGTTACACCGAGGAAGCCTTTCCCTACCTAGAGCAGGGCTGTAACCGGCTATGCTTACTGAGCCCTGACTGCCAGAATACTCTTCCACCCAAGCTGTAACACTCAGTATTCCCTGGCCCCCTACTGCCAGAATACTTGTCCATCTGAGCTATAGCACTGAGTATTCCTTGGCTCCTGACTGCCAGGATCCCTTTCCATCTGAGCTGCAACGTTTATATTGCCCAAGCTGACCTGGCACTGCCGAGGTCTTTAAGGGACCTTCTCAGTATTGGGTCTCCAGAGCCTCTCCCACCCTGAGTAGTAGTCCTTTCCCCCTTAATAAAGTTTAATGAACCATAATAAATAATTGCTCTGTCCCCCTCCTCCAAAAATGATCCTTCTTCCTCAGCCTCTGAGCAGTTGGGATTTGAGTGTGAGAGCCCCATCCAACTCAGGCAGCTGTCTGTCTATTGTGGTGCAGGGATGGAGCCTAAGGCAAGGTGGGTAGGTGGTCTCTGCTGAGCTAACATGCCTGAGTTCTGAGAAGAGACCTGCTGTATCCTTAGGTGTTCTGAAATCGAGGCTCAAGGATCAAGATACACAGATATTAGGCAAAATAAAGAAAATTAAATGGGCCCGGGAAGGCCATGCAGAGTGTAATTGAAGCCTCCCACCGATGCTAAGAATTCTAGCACAATTAATGTTTGCCAAGAAGGCCTCCCACATAAGACATTTTCAAAGGTAAATGTTAAAAATAGGACTGCCTCGTGACCTTAACTCAGTTCCTGTGACACTCATGGTAAAGGAGAGAGCTGACCCCTGCAAACTGTCCTCTGCCCTCCACACGCGTGGTATGACACATGTCCGCACTCACACTGGGCTGGCTAGTCTTACACCAAATAAGCTAGAGGCATCTGAGAGGAGGGAAGCTCATTTGAGAAAATGCCTCAGTAAGATCCAGCTGTAGGGCGTTTTTCAAATCACTGTAGGTGACGCCATCCCTGTGCTGGTGGTCCTGAGTTCTGTAAGATGGCCCAGCAAGCCGGTAAGCAGCACCCATCCATGGCCTCTACATCACCTCCTGCCCTGACTTCCTTGGATGATGAACAGTAATGTGGAAGTGTAAGCCAAATTAACCCTTTCCTCCCTAAGTTGCTTTGATCATAGTGTTTCATCCCAACAAAAGAAACCCTGACTAGGGCTGGAGAGATGACTCAGTGGTTAAAGGCATTGGTTTCTTTTCCAGAGGTCCTGAGTTCAATTCCCAGCAACCACGTGGTATCTCACAACCATCCATCATGAGATTTGGTGCCCTCTTCTGGCCCGCAGACATACATGCAGGCAGAACACTATACATAATAAATCTTAAAAAGAAAAAAGAAAGAATATATGTAATTTTTACAAGGAATTTAAAAAGACAGTAAGCCAGCTGCGCTTGGTACGCATTGTTAATCCCAGCATTTGGGAGACAGTGGCAGGCAGATCTTTGAGTTTGAGGCCAGCCTGGTCTACAGAGTGAGTTCCAGGACAGCAAGGACTGTTACACAGATAAACCCTGTCTTGAAAAACCAAAAAACGGGGCTGGAGAGATGGCTCAGCGGTTAAGAGCATTGCCTGCTCTTCCAAAGGTCCTGAGTTCAATTCCCAGCAACCACATGGTGGCTCACAATCATCTGAAATGAGGTCTGGTGCCCTCTTCTGGCCTTCAGGCATACACGCAGAAAGAATATTGTATACATAATAAATAAATAAATATTAAAAAAAAAGAAAAGAAAAACCAAAAGAGAAGAAGAAGAAAGAAAGAAAGAAGGAAAGAAAGAAAGAAAAAAGTAATAATAATAAATAAGGGCTTCGAGGTTACTCAGTGGATAAGAGCACTGGCTGCTCTTCCAGAGGACCTGGCTTCCAATCCTAGCACCACTTAGAGCTGTAACTCTAGTTCTGGGAGATTCAGCATTGCCTTCTGGCCTCTGCAGGCCCTGCATGTACATAACGTACAGGTATATATGCAGGCAAAACACCCATACACATAAATAGAAAAATTTATAAATAATGGAGGCTGGAGAGTTGGCTCAGTGGTCGAGAACATTGACTCCTGTTCCAGAGAACCTAGGTTCCATTCCCAGCAGAGGACACCTTGAACCTAGGTTCCATTCCCAGCAGAGGACACCTTCATGGAGCCTCTCCTCCCCCACCTTTATGTGGATTCGAGGTACTGAACTCAAGTCTTCAGGTTTGGCATGCACAGTAGTGGTTCTAGCTTGCTAGCTAAAGCCATGAGCCCTCTGCAGCCCACGGCAGCAAAGCGTTCTTAAGGCTTGAGCATAGACTACAGTAACCATGGCCTCACTTCCTACTCATTTTCTGGGACTCTCCCAAAAGTACCTTGAAAGCACTTGAATTTCCTGTGCAGCCCTTGGGAAGGAGGGTTATACCTAATCAGCTACAATCCCATCCTTGGCACGTCAGGAACCAACCACCCTATGATTGATGTTCTCCACCCAAGAAATTCCTTAGCCTCCCTGTGAGCCCTGACTTTAGAAGCCACCAAAGCCAGGTAGCTACGTTTTGTAAAGACAGCCAGCTCTCTGGAGAAGCCCAAACCCATACTTTTCACATACTTGCAGGTGGGCCTTACCCCTTCCTAGACACTTTACTTTCTTTTCTCTTTTCTCTCTCTCCTTTTTTTTTTTTTTTTTGGTTTTTCGAAACAGGGTTTCTCTGTAGCTTTGGTGCCTGTCCTGGAACTAGCTCTTATAGACCAGGCTGGCCTCGAACTCCCAGAGATCCGACTGCCTCTGCCTCCCGAGTGCTGGGATTAAAGGCATGCACCATCACCGCCCGGCTCTTTTCTCTTTTTTGATTTTTTTTTTTTTTTTTTTAGTTTTGGTTTTTCAAAGCATGATTTCTCTGTGTAGTTCTGGCTGTTCTGGAACTTTCTCTGTAGAACAGGTTGGCCTCAAGCTCAGATATCTGCTTGCCTCTGCCTCCCAAGTATGTGCCAACATTGCTTGTTCCTGGATGTCTTTCTTAAACCCGTGTGTGTGTGTGTGTGTGTGTGTGTGTGTGTGTGTGTGTGAAGAAAAACCTCTAAGGGGACAATGAAATGACTTAGCAGGTAAGTGTTGGATGCCAGGCCCTTCAGAGGAGAACTGATTCCTGAAAGCTGACCTCTGACCTACACATGGGAGAGTGCACACACAGAAATGTCAAAAGAAACATCATCATACTCATCTTGAAATTCTGGGGCTGAGTCAAAAATCCTGGGGCCAGGCTGGCAGGATGACTCAGTGGGTTGAATGCACCTGCTACCAAGCCCGAGGACCTGAGTTTCTTCCCTGGGACCCACATGGTGGACGGAAAGAAACATTTGTTCTTTAACCTCTGTACGTGTGCTGTGTGTGCCTGTATACCTCTGACAGATAGATAAATGTGGTTTTGTTTTGCTTTTTTCTTCTGAATCTTGGGACTGAGATTATAGGTCAGTTGGTAGAATGTTTGCCGAAGTGTGTGAAACCCTGGGTTTGATCAAGGCCTCGCCCTGGGGAGACTGAGGCAGAAAGGTCAGAGGGTCAAAGGTCTTTCCCTGACTGTTAGTGAGCTGGAGGCCAGTCTGGGCTGTGTGAGACCCTGTCTCCAAAAGAGAAAAGGAATTCTTCCTAGATTTACCTGATAAGAAATCTCTAGAAAGAACTGCAGGAGGCAGTATAGAACTGCCTGTGTCTCCGGGTATACTGTAAAGCCACCAGTAGTAAGACAGCCTCTACCTCTCTAATCCCAGCACTCTGAACTTTGAGGCCAATCTGGCCAGTATAGCAAGACCCTGTCTAGAAAGGGGGGAGGGCATGGGTGTTGGGCCCTGGATCTACTACTCAGAAGGCAGATCAATATAAATTCAAGGTCTACCTGCCGTAAGTATCCAGTCCCAGGCCAGCCAAGCTTACGTAGCCAAATCTGTTCCCTCCAGAAGTCAGGACTTCAGGTTCCCTGAAACTGGAGCAATGGACGGTTGTGATCCACTATTCGGGTGCTGGGAATTGAACCCAGGTCCTCTGAGAAAGCAACAAGTGCTCTTAACTGCTGAGCCTTCTTTCCAGCCCCACAGAATAAAGGCAAGTAAGTTCATCCTCAGTGTGTTAGGAAGTGAAGCAAGGGGCCTGCCTGGGAGAAGGCTCGGCAGCAAAAGGTGCT